GAGAAGCAAGCTGATCTCGACTTCGACATCGTGCGGCACTACTTCCCGCGCTCCTCCACCGACGCGATGATCACGTGGCTCGTCACTAAGATCGGCTTCGCGCTGCTCTGGCCGAACTCGGTGCTTCCGCACATCGAGCAGCCGCTGGGCGGGGAGCTGCTGCTGACGCGGCGCGCGGCGGAGGTGCTGGTGGCGGACCACCGTGTGCGCACGCAGAGCGACTGGGGCATCGACACGCTCTACACGTTCGTGACGGCGCAGGCGGGGCTGCGCTTGGCGGAGGTGTACGTGCCTGAGGGCAAGATGCACGCGCTCTACGGCGGCCTGCGCGACCTGCGCACCATGCTCATCGAGTGCTTCTCCGCCGTGCAGGTGTGATTTTGAAACCGTGCTTCAGCTAGCTAATTTTAACCTACCGTAAAAGTACCCGTTTTTCACTAGCGTTGGTACGTCTCCTGTGCTAGAGGTGCGAGCCTTGTGGCTCTGAGCTTTTTCCTCATCCGTTTCCTTTCCTCGCGTACCTTTCATCTTTCCCCTGGCAGTCGTTGAAATCCGAGGACCTGAACGACGAGGGTAACCCGGTGATTCACCGAGTGGAGTTCGCGCGGCCCGTGCCGGAGGCGGTGCGGAGCAAGGTGGGGTACGACGTGGAGAAGACGCTCAAGCTGCTTAAGGAGCCGCTCACGCCGCGCATGAAGGACCTCCTCCATCAGTACTTCGACCCCGCGCTCGCCAAGGTAAGCCGTTGATATGGTTTTAATTTTTTACTTTTATCGAGATGGATTCTTATTTCTGTTGGTTTGGTCACCGGTTTGCGTGTCCACCCGTCGCAATTGTTTTTTTTTCTAACAGACTGTCGTCTAATTCTTCCTGTCCTTGTACCACGTGGCTTCGCGTGCAGGGTTTGATAATGGCGGCGGAGTGGCCGACGTGGTCGTTCTGCGACGAGGAGGCGTGGGTGGCGGCGTACATTCGCTTCCTCGACCACTTCGAGAAGGGCGACGCGGACTGGGAGGAGCTGCTCTTCCGCGTGTGGGTCGCGCGCGTGCTCAACCACACCATCCGGAACGTGATGCGCGGGTACGACGTGGCGCTGGGCGCGCTGCGCGAGCTGGTGGCGGAGACGCAGCAGCGGTCGGCGGGGCAGGTGCGCGCGGAGGCGAGCAACCGAATGACGCTCGCGTCGGGGCACACGGCGCTGGAGGCCAAGCAGGACGCCGACGCGTCGTGGACGCTCATGCAAACCGACTCGGACGCGGTCAACGTGCCCATTGTGTAACCACCCTTGGAACACACCCGCAGATCCTGCATAGCCTCAGTTCCTGGCCTCAGCTCCTGGGCTGGACTCCTGGTTGAGCTCGCTGGCTGGGCGATTTGGGCTGGATTGCATGGGCCGGGAGTCCACATGCAGCTGGAAATTGGGGTCCTCAACATCTCGGGCGTTGAATCTCTGGCGCTTCATCCAAAATGATAATGTAAAGGGAATTTGCTGAGGCTTAGGAGATGGGTGGTGGTGAAGCTGAGAGGTGGTGACACCGCAAGGTTCATGTTGGGATGGAGGTGACAGGCATTGCAAGGCATGGCATTTGATTGGCTGAGTGCACCGAGCCTGAGGGCTGGAAACTGGCCTTCTTGAAGCCGGCCGGGTAAATCTGTCACCCTGAAGCTTGTTCCAAGCTAGCAGAACTTCTGGGCTTGCTGGCACTTGCTGGCCCTCCTCTTCACCAAAGGAGTCATGCAGCGGCTGCCTTCCCCTAGGAGGTGGTCCATAGGAGCTGCATCAATGGGTCAGCTGGGGAGGATGTAAAGCAGGCCTGTCACCTGTGGTGGTGGAGGCATGATAGGGGTTATATCCCAAAAGTTCGTTTCATGGGTGACATATTGAGGTTCCGCCTGATAGGTTTAGGCTTGGTTAGGAGGTCTAAACTCTAGAATCTTTGTACAGGTTGTTATGGATTGCTTTGTTTGTCAAATTATGTATTTGACGCTGGTAATACAATTTACACTGGACTCGCCAATACGTGTAGTAGATGCATGACACCAAGCTTTGAATTCACTTTTCGGATGTGTAGGGTATTGTTACGGGTGCAATGCATCGAGGTAGCGAGAATTGCACTAAGGTGTCAAACGAGTACAAAATGTGAGCGAAGGCATGAGCGAACATTTATACGCGAAACATGCAAAACGGTAACACGGTGCGTGCGAACTTGCTAGTGCTACGCTGGAGCGAGGCTTGGGCTAGTCCCGAAGCGTAGGCCGATACGGCCATGCCACCAGTGCGAGGTTTGGTAAAACAGTGCGCGCGAAGTCGGCGAAGTTCCGTTAGCAGTAACGGGCGAACCATCGGCTGTTGCTGTACGCGATGTAGTCGGCTCTGTAAGGAATGCCGAGAAAATTCCTTACAGGTATGGAGAATACACCAATACGTGTAGGGTATGGAGAATTAACCAGTACAATTCCAATAGATGCATGACACCAAGCTTCGAATTCACTTTTCGGATTTCAGGTCTAGAATGTGTCATGCCGCATCCTTCCATAACGACGCCGAGGTTTTGAAGATAATATTTAGGATGAGCCACCAACAGCAGCTTTCCACACCATGTTCTAATCAACCGTCGCGTCAACATTTGACAAGCCCTTGCCATCGCATTCCGATCACCATCTCTCCGCGCTTGCCCGGCTGGTGTCCAATGGCGCAGGCGGACGGCGGACGGCGGGAAGCGGGGGATGCTGGGGAAGCGGAGAAGCCGCGGGCGGGGGTGGACGTGGTGAATCCGAGCCTCGATGGACGAACCTCTGCCAAACCTGACGATCCCGCTTTTTGCGCTCTGTTTGCGACGCACAAGGAGCATCTGACGTGGACTGACTCAGGCCGCTTGCGCTGCGCGCTGACTGGTCACGAGTTCCTTCCTACCCACGAGTCGCTTAAGCGACACGTGGCAAGCAGAATCTTCGCCAAAGCGGCGGCGTCGCTCGCGCTCCGGAAATTCGAGCCGCACGTCGTGCAGTCGCCGGATAATCCGTGAGATCGCGCACTCCCTCTGATATTTGCTCACTCCTTCCGATAGTAGCACACGTGTTTCATTCATCAGGCGCCGGTTTATCAGGCTGCGTTCAACAAACGTCTGTGAGACAGAAGAAAGGTTGTCCGTCACGCACGATTCAAGAGAAACCTCAAACCCTGTCCCCTGTTCTGTTCATCCCATCGCAGCAACAAGCTGCTGTGCACGTTGACCAACAAGCTTATACAGAAATCGGAGGACGCTGTATGGAAGCACATGATGGGCCACAAATTCCAAAAGCAACTCAGTGAGTGCTCCATCCTTCCTTCGCTCCTTTGCTTTCTTGCTCCATCATGCCATTTTATCTTCTTGTGTGTCTTCATCTGCTCTTGCAAATTCGAGCTTCCGTTGCTCCCCACCTTCCGCCCTTCCGCCCTTCCGCCCCTTATACCCCATATCCCCATTGTCCCCTTGCGGCCCCGCCCCCCCATGTGGCGCGCGCAGCCAAGAAGGAGCAGGAGGCGGCAGCGCGGAGGGCGGCCAGAAGGGCAGAGCTGGCCGCAGCAAGCCAGCCTGTGACTGGGGGGACGGACGTGGGGGGGGGTGCTGAGGAAGGTCGGGGGGGAGAGGAAGGGGAGGAGGGGGAGGAGGTGGAAGAGGGGGAGGAGGTGGAAAAGGGGGAGGAGGTGGAGGAAGGGGAGGTGGTGGAGGAAGGGGAGGAATGGGAGGAGATCGATGAAGCGAGTGTGGAAAGGGAGATTACTGAAGAAAAAGCAGAGTGCAGCGAAGGGGAAACAGAGGACAGTGAGGAGGACAGTGAGGAGGAAGAGGGGGAGGAGGGGGAGGAAATGGAGGGGGCGGCGGAAAGGGTGGAGGGTGAAGAAGAGGAAGATGGGGCAGAGTTTTGGATGCCTCCTGTAGGCGACAGGTGGGACGGGGATGATGGGGGTGATCGATGGGGCAGCAGAGAGGAGCGGAGGGAGGCGAAACGGAAACGGCGATCTGAAGAGGAGGAAGTGGGGGAAGATGAGGAAGAAGACTCAGAGGACGAGGAGGAAGAAGAGGGAGAGGGGGAGGAAGAGGATGATGGGGAGGGGGGGGAGGAGGAGGATGAGGATGCGGGGGATGAAGAGGAGGAGGAGGATGAGGATGAGGAAGATGAGGAAGAAGCATTGTTTTGGATGCCTCCTCCAGGTGACAGGTGGGATGGGGATGACGGGGGTGATCGATGGGGCAGCCGGGAGGAGAAGCGGAGGCTCAGTCAAAAGCAAGAGGAGCAGGGGGAGGGGAGTGAGGAGGGTGAGGAGGACGGAGAGGAGGAAGGAGAGGAGGGGGAGGAGCAGGAAACAGCTTCACAGGCCACTAGAGCACCAGAAAGCAATAGGCGTAAGCGTAGAAAAAAGGGGAGGGGCCGTTGTTGAGCAGGGGGGAAGTGGGAATAGGCAAGAAACAAGGAGCGTCAGGTCAGATGCATCACTAGTACGCTGCTTTGGCAGTATGTCAGCTCAGCAACAACCTGGCCTGAATGCTGTTCAGCCCCTGAGATTACGCTGTACTTGATTCACGCTGGTGCTTTGGCGAAGTTGTTATTGCAATTGAGCTCGATATGGCTTTTTTAATAAATCAACTAAACGAGTGAGGTGTAAAAATCATGCACCCTGGTTTCCTAAACGAGGGCTCTACGCTATTGTATGTCTACACTGTATCGCAATGTATCCAGGGCTTTTAGCTCCAAGAACATCCCTCCTGCATCTTGTTCACAATAATCAGCTACAAGGGAATCTCTATTCGCAGAATTCTGTCAGGTGCTGTCGAGCTTCAGAGGCCACAGGATTGGGTTCTTCTCAGGGGAGCAAACACGTCTCCCCAGTCCACACCACCATTCACGGGAGCAACACGGCTGGTGCAGCCGTACCCCTTAAAAGCCAACTCATGTTGTGCACTTGGCAGGTTGCCGCTGTACTCATTATTAGCCGACTCAGTCATCTCCCCACCACCTCATTCCACCTTGGTATGCACCAACACAGGCTGCACCACCTGCTGCTGCTCCGGCTGCTTCGCCTCCAATTCAGCTGCGATTCTTTTGCTGCTCACAGCACCGCTGCTAACACCAGCGACGGCGGGCGGCGAGAGCAGCGCGTGCAGTCTCCGCAGTGCCCAGTTGCCGCCCAGCACCAGCACAGGCAGCAGATTGCCCACAAAGTTCAATCCTCGGTACACTGTGATGGTGTCCTCTGCTGTCAAAACCTGTGAACAATAGAGAATAACAAGAGGAGGGACAGGGGAAACGCAAGCAACGTGAGCCTCTTGGTGAAACCTTTCAGAGGAAGAATTGGCTCTGACACCAGTATGCTTGCAGTTAACTAATGGTCTTAAACACAGTGTAGTACAACGAATCCCATGGAGACTCAAGCGAATCACGACAGGGTAGTGTATCACAATGAAGCCCACGGCGACTCGAGCGAATCAAGTAACAGTCTTACAATGAAGCCCATGGCAATATAGTTGAGGCCGGCGAACGAGTAGAGGCAGTGCAACGCCTGCACCAAGGTCGCCCACAGCCACTGCGACTCCGGAATGGTGCGCTGATAGCGGTAGATCACTGCCATGCCAGAGGGGGCAATCGGGGAGAGGGATGGGGATGGGGAAGGATGGGAGAGAAAGAGTGAGCGACGATGGGAGAGAATGAGAGAGGGTCGGAGATGGAAGATTGGTGGCATGGTGGCATGCTGGCATGATGCCATAGGGGCATGATGGCATGATGGAATGATGGCATGCGGGCATGGGGGCATGATGGCATGATGACATGATGGCATTGTGGAATTGTGGCATGGTGGCATGGTGGCAATGATGGCAACGATGGCAATGACGACAACATACCTCGCGACCCCATGATGAGGAACGCGCCGCTGAACGCGAACATGAAGTCACCAATGTAGATGCCCTGGTGGTGGCACCATGGACACATGGGGAGGGATGCGGGAGAGGGAATAGAGGACAGAGAATGAGGCGCGGATGGGGGGAAGGAGGGAGGCGAGAATCGGAGGGGGTAGTGGTGGTGGTGGTTCTGGATGGTGCAATGGAGCATGATGAAAGGGGGGAATGTGAAGGCGGCGGGGGAGAGGTGGATTGAAGCGAAATTGGAAGGGAAGGGAGTAACGCAGAGGGGATCTCAGCAAGCAATTTCATGCCACCCCTCTATATGCCACGTGGCACTCACATGCCAGATGGCGCTGACGCCGACGGTGAGCAGTAGCGACAGCACGCCCGGCTTCTGCCCCGCTGGGATCGTGCGCTCGTAGATGTCTGCGCGCGGGGGGGACGAGATGGGGTGGGGTGGGGGAAGGGGCGGGGAGGGGATGGCGGAGAAGGATGAGTGAGAGTAGGTGGATGAGGCGAGGGGACGGATACAATGAGCAGAGAGAGCGAGGATTTAGAGCGAGAGAGAGGGAGATGCGGGAGGTGCGACGCGGGGAAGGTGGGCAAGGTAACTAATTCACCGGCTCATTCATGGTCTTAGCACTCACATGTTCGCAGCCACAGCCCCACGGAGACGTTCCAGTTCTTGGCGTACGCGTTAAAAGCCTTCGCCAGCTCCACCCCCGCGATGTTGATGTTCTTCGCACGCTCCCACGACGCCACCAACCGCGGCTCTGCGACGTCTGCGACCTTCGCCTGCTCCGTTACCACCCCGTTCATCTTCGCGAGAGCGATGTCATCCTTGGTCTCCTCGCACGCGGTAAGGAAGCCGTTTGTAGCGGGGACAACGAGATCTTTGCTGGAGAAAACTTTTTTCGAGCCGATTTCAGGAGCTTCATTTTCGTCGTTTGCACTGGTTACCACTCCATTCTTTCGCAAAGGGCTCTTCGCAGCGAGCTTCACGATTTTCGCCGCATTCCCCGCCGCACTATCACCCAACACCCCCTGAGGGGCCTTTTTAGGAACCACAGTCTTCCTCAAAATCGATTTTCCTTGTTGCCGGCCAGTCGCGGTAATCACGGCGGAATCTACGGCGGAAGTCTCGCTGCTCTTACTTCTAACCGGTTCTTGCGTCGAAGCGCCTGCGCTTTTGGCGGGAACCCACCCGCTGAACCCTAATCCCGACGCGATCATGCTCGCCTCGGCAACCGTCCAAACATAGTAGATCTTGCATCGGACGGCGTACGTTGAGATGATGACGTGGCCCCAACGGTGGAGGTACGGAATCGCGTAGAAGCGCTTCGGGTCGGTGACCAGAGGTAAGTTGAGCTGCGGCTTCAGGACGAGGTGAATAAAGCCGGCCGCTGTCGCCCATGCGAGTGCGACGAGCAACGGGATCGCGAAGGGTGCCTTGCGAGCATCGTGCGACCACACCTGCGACGGAGGAGGAGAAGAGAGGAGAGGAGAGGACGACGGAGATGAAGGCAAGGAAGGCACTAGAAGGCAAGAGGGACCCAAGAACGGTGAAGCGACGAAGAGTAGCGTCCTGAGTGGGAGGAGGAAGCGGAAGGTGAGGGCGATGATGGGAGCGGAAGAGGAAGAGGAAGAGGAAGGAAGAGAGTTAGAAGCGAGTGCAGATACGGCCGGAAATCGCGGATCGTCTTACCCCTCGGTTTTTGGCCCAGTCGAGGTACGGTCTGAGCTCGAAGAACGGGCCCGTGAGATGTAACCCGCCGCAGAAGATGTAACCCATGTACTGTAACGCGGACGGCAGCTCCTTGAGATGGCGATGCGTGCCGCGCTGCGGCGTCGGGAGGTCCTTGTTCACGAGGTACTCGCCGTCTTGGTAGTCGAACGCCGATGACGTCAGCTTCAACGTCACCATCATGAGCGTCCCGGCGAAATCGATCCCTTGGTCCTTGCGGGCTTTGCCGCTCGCATAAATAATGTGACTGTAAGGGCGAAGGGGGGTCGCGGGCGGAATTATAGACATATGTAGAGGGAGCAAGCTCCTATTTTCTCAACACTATCTAGAGACATCAAATCAGAGACATTGAGCAAGCGGCGCGACTCACCACGCGAGGAGGTACGCGAAGGTCCCGACGAGCGTGATCATGCCGCATCGCCGGCGATGCAGCGACATGGCAGTGTACGTGAAGGCGACGAGCACGGCGTAGTGGCCCCAGATGGTCGGTCCGAACGCGTACAGCGCGAGCAAGAGGCCCGTGAGCGCCGCGCACACGTGGCGGTATGTGGGCGACGCGATGCCGCGGAGGAGGAAGCAGCAGGGGATGGAGAGAAGCGGCGATACTAGCGAGATGAGTGTAGTCGGGGTGATTCCTATTTGCGCGCCCAGGTCCACTGCGCGGTCCATCAGGGCCGCTGCCATGGCGGGTGTGGAATCCGTGACGCGCAAGTCGAGTTTACGAGTGAGCAAAAGTGCTATATCGTGGAAAAGTCCGTTCTTGCAGGACCAAGAACGACAATCTTCGTGCGCGATCCCTGGAACCGAGAGGACGGGAATTAGTTTGTTAGTAGCTGGTTAGTGCCGTCCTGTAACCAGTGTGCCGATAACGGGACAGGATTCCTACGAATGCCTCAACTATCAATGTCAATTAGTCGGCTAATGGGTACGCTAATGCAGCGAGAGAGCTGCCTAACTTTCCCTGCCTGGAAGTGTGAAACGAACTGAGAAAGAACGCTGGAAAGACCGCAAGCACATAAAGCTGGGAGGAGTGGGGCGAACAGGCATCGAGGCGACGCGGAAGCAGAGGGATGAGGGAGGGAAATATGTAGCGGGAAAAGCGGGAGAATGTTAGGTTAGTGGCAGCAAGACCAAGTGGATGAGGGGGGTGGAGGGGCGACAGGTGGATGGAAGGGGCGAGCGACGACGCAGAGTGTGGCAGTGCAGGCTCGGGCAGCGTACGAAACTCATGCGATTGGTGGTTGGTACCCCTTGCCCAAACAAGGTCTCCTGCGACGCGCTGCGACTAGTTGTGCTTGAATCAATTGCGGGCAGGGATCTGGTTCGCGGAGGCAAACCTGAACCAGCGACCCAGTCGCAGGCGGTAAAGCTGGTTCGGAACGGGGCGCCGATAGGTCCCGCCGAAATCCGGTGCGCAAGCCCGCGGTGCGGACTTCCAGCTGCTTTGCCCTAAGGGCAGACAGCCTGCTAGTTCGAGTGTGTGTGCTCGAGCCTACAGTATCCGCCCATAAAATCAGGCTGCCCAACATCTGACGAAAAACCGCTTCCAGGTTAGGAGGCGATGCCTGCCAGACCTCAGGGCCAGACCTGCCGAACCTGATTCGGCTTCGGCTTCTGTCCCGAAAAAAATGTGCCGTGGCGACAAGCACACTGCTCCGCCACAAGTCGTCTTCGATAATCAGTCATAGCGATGTTCAACATTACATCAAAACAAACACTCGCACTCTTGTATAACAGAAGTGGGTGTTAACCTAGATGCTGTGAAGTGCCCAGCTGGTGTGAAGCAGAACCACGGCAGTGCTGGCACACTACAGCACAGCTGTACATGTGGAAGGGAGTCACCTCGCACCATCCTGACGTGTACCGATCTCACCAACGCGGCCTGCTCCATTCACAACAAGAAACATAAGGCCAGCACGCCCCAACAACAACCATAGCCCCCTAGTTCACCAATCAGCGCACAGGGCCTTGCGTCTTCCACCTCGTCAGCGCCACGCATGGAGCACGCCGAATCGCATCGAACATTCCAGCCAGCACATCAGCACGTGCTTCGGCTGCTTCCTCGTGAATGCGTTCTTGCTCGTGCAAAGCTGAACCGCTCCGACTGCTAGGAGAAAGATGCTCTCTCATATTCGCATCCCATCATCTTGTTTTTTATCACACCAGAATCTCTCAATCGAATTTCACTAGATATTCCAGCCGGTGAACAACTCAGGACGCGACCATCTAACTCGTATTTCTACTTGAAGTCTCGCAGCTACCGCTCAATATTACCTAGGTTCAAGCGGTGGTGGTATCTATTAGAAGAGAAGCAGATTGCTTTCACGGGACCAAAGTAGAGGTCTTAGTACTCACCACAACATGGAGTACCCACCTCGCAAGATAGCGATAGCCATCGATTTGAGCGACGAAAGTGCTCACGCCGTACGATGGGCTGTGCAGAATTATCTGCGCCCAGTGGACCATGTAAGAACCCGCTACGCGTTTGGAAAATTCTGAATCTCAGTTCGATTTTGCCTCGCCACCACACTCTTGAACTCGAAGTTCGCTAAAGAGCGAATAGCGTAGCTGTCATCGCTGCTCTTTAGAGCTCGCATTGTCCTCTTTCCACAAGGTCGTGCTCTTCCATTTTTTGTTGCCTCTTTTACCCGAATGCTCTTCTCGCGTCATTTGTGGTTTCAATTCCTATCGTTTGGCAATATCCCTGTGCGTCTCGCCAGGTGATCATCCTGCACGTGCGTCCCACGAGCCTGCTGTACGGCGCGGACTGGGGCGCGTGGGAGGCGACGGACGCGGCGAAGGCGGCGGACCGCGAGATTAAGGAGCGCGCGGAGGAGGAGTTCGACGCGCTCACGCTGGCCAAGGCGCGCGAGTTGGCAGAGCCGCTGAAGTTGGCGGGAATTCCGTTCCGCGTGCACATCGTAAAGGACCACGATATGAAGGAACGCATTTGCCTTGAGGTGCGCATCCCGCTGAAGGCGGCGGGTATTGCGTTCTACGCTTCAGTAATCAGTCGAGGAGGGATGTTTGTTTCGAGTGTGAACTACACCAGCGTCGCGCGGAGCAGTAGTGCGCGGCGAGCAGTAGATGGGTGGAAGCAACACGAGAGGGTGAGACTGACTTGCGGAAATGGCTTCAGGAAGCGTGGAATGGAACATTGTTTCGTGCTCCCAATGTGATGAAGAAGCGGATGTGGAATACAAGAGGCAGTTCTATGGTAAGAGAGTCAGCCAAGCTCGTATGAGCATCTCCGGATGATTTGCAAAAAGCAACTTCTTACATGCATACACGTACTGGCACATGCAATAAGAATCGCTTCAGACTCTCACCAGTTGCATTTTTACGGTCATCTTGATTCTCCTCCTCCTCAAGCTCTCCCGTATCTCTCGTGTCCAGGTGTCCGTTTGTTGCGATGTCTAGCCTGGTTAAACAAACAGGTAGAGCATTTGATACATCTGTTTGACCTGCGTCTTCCCGTCGTGTCGGATCCCTCTATCAAGTATAACAGAAAGCCAAGAGTGCTTAGACCATTGGCAGCAGTGACCTTTTGGAGCAACACAGTCAATTTGTGCTTCTGAATGGTTCTTGCCTTCTTTCTCTCTTTGCGTCTGCCAGGTAGAGCGTTTGGGTGTGAGCGCGTGCATCATGGGCAGCCGAGGCTTTGGAGCGCACGGCCGAGCGAGGAAGTCGCGATTGGGCAGCGTCAGCGACTACTGTGTGCACCACTGTGAGCCATTTGTGACCTGTTCAGTGTTGCACATGATGACATTGTGCACATGGTTTTGTCTACCACTGCAACCCTTTTTCTGTTCGTCTTTACTCGTTTTGTTTTGAGGGCACAACGCATCATCCATTTGTACTTTGTGTTGTACCGTATCCGCTGTTACTTGCCTATGCTACGGCATTTTCTGACAGGCATTGGCTGTGCGGTGAACGCTTTTGACTTCATGGCAGGTGACTGTCCGGTGGTGGTCGTGAGGATGCATGAGGAGAAACCGTTTATCCACCCACCCTTGACTGCTCTGGCTTCTTAATCGGCATGGAGAAGGTAGTGGGTATTGTACATGATTCAGACCTCCGAAGGGAGGCTTGTACATATGCTAGACAAGTAGTAAGGAGGTCTTTGCTAGGCAATTCCAGGATATTGTTGTACGACATGGTAGTACTGGTACTTCTGCGTGGCTGTGGTACTGATAATGCGAATTACTCCTTTCGTGCTTACCGTAGAAGAGGTGGTGCTGTTGGTGTAACAGGGTCAGGCCCTACGATATCAGGAATTTTCCCCTGAAATTCCTGATTTCCAGGGTTTTTTTTTAACCTACACTGATTTTCCAGTGTTCAGCTTTTTGTGGGGCTGATTTTTCAGCCTTCACCTAGCACATGACTCTGAACTTTCAGCAATCTTTTTCTAGAGACACTGATTCCACTACGTTGTAACGAATCCGACCCTGAAAGCGATTCCTACACGGTTCGTGTGTAGTTGCCCAGCTGTACAGGGAATATCAGATTCCCGCGGTGTCAGCAGGGCGTGGCGGTGAGTAGCAGACAAATTTGCCTCGTAGAGGGATGCGTTGTTGGCGCGCGTGGTGCGATGATTGGCCACTTTGACAGCATTTCCTGATTTGGCCAATTACAGGGTTGCAGCACAGCGATGCTGGCAGGCAGCGCAACGAGGGATTCAGGCCCATGTGAAGCACCTGTGGTCCTCTGGCCCGTTTTGTCTAAGTCGTGCTGGCAAGCACGGATGCATCCACGCCGCCCAGCCGTGCTGCCAGCCATCCAGTCTCCCACCCCAGTCTGCTCCATGCTTTCCTTCCATCTAGCAAGGGTAAGGTTTCATCGCGTTGCTGCCTGGTGTACCAAGAGGCAGTCAGCCGTGTGTCCTCTCTTCCTGGCAAACCTCCATCGTTCAGCTAGCTAGGGAGTCCCGTTAGATGTTGCTTGTTCACAGCGCAATCAATGGCGGACCACCCGGACGCCATTGAACGACCTGATGACCCCGGCGATGAACACGCTCGTCGTTCGCCAATTGATCTGTCCGCGGCCGTTACCGGGCTGGATCTGCTATTCTCCAACTTAGCGGCTGTAGATAACCATGGAAAGGCGCCTGCAGTCGCGCCGACCGTCGATGTTCCATTTGAACCCATCGACGAGCCTATGTGTCCCTCCCCTACTGCGCC